CCCTTTCAAGCGTGTCACAGTTACTGCTGATCTGAAAACCACGACAAATTGTCAACGTCTGATCCCGATGCACGGAGATGTTTGAATAGTGAGCAGTAAGAATGGAGTGGCAATAAGAAGCCCATGATTCAAAATGTTTGTACAAAACTGAAGCAGTGTGTCCAGTAGCACTGAAAAGGTATTTGAGCTTCAAAAATTCAGTCATAGGCAGCATAGCTGTACTGATTTGTAATTTATCAAAAGAATGGTCCCAGTTAGACAGTTTTAAAGTAAAATCTATGAGAAATTGAGGACGAGAACAACCCTCCCCCTAACCTTCTTAAAATAAAATAAAATGAAAAAGAAATGTATTTTCCAACCTTTTTATGGACTTTTCCCTCTTTGCCTAAGTGATGAGGTGATGCTGACATTAACAAGAGGCAGTCATAGTAGTGTGTCTCACTTGGTGACAGAGGAGCGCCCTGTCCAAAGGCCTGGGAAGCGGAGCACTGGGTGTGAGAGGAGGGAGTGAGGGCTCAGGGAGACACTGGGCTGTCTGTGAGGCAAAGGGGTAAAAAGCTGGGTCCTGGAAAAACGGTAAAGTGAGAAAAAAAATAGCTGCGTGGTATGAAGGAAGGGGAGGCCACAGTACTGAAAGGAGAAAACAGAAATGAAGCTAGATGCCAAAATGACTTTAGGACAGGCACAGAGAAAAGAGAAAGATCCCTGGACCACCAACCCCTGGCAATGACTCTGAAATTGAATGACATTATTTCAGCAGGCACAGGCCAGTTTCATTAGGGTACTGACCTATATGAGACACGGGGACTCCCATTTGCCTAATACAGATTTCTTAAGCTGCCATTGGTACAACCATGGCGAAAATGACCAGCTCCCTAACAATGCAATGCATCAGCCAAACAGTGCACCCTGGCCTTGTTCAAATTTTCCTTCTTCCTTGTCACCTGTTCTTCCTCAGCCCATGGCTTGCAACCTCACAAGGTAGAATGAACACACATAACTGCATGGATCCCGTGCATTTTAAGAAAGCAGTGTCCATTTTAAGAAAGGGTGTCACTAAGAAAATTAAACGTTTAAGACGAGATAATTTACATTTCTGTTAGGCCTGATTTCTATTAGGATGCTGACTGATTTCACTTAGGTCTGGGCATGCAGGCCAGTGCTGATTTTCCAGGCCAAAGCACGATTCCTTAAATCAAACTCCAGGGGCACGCTGCTCCCCACAGTAGTCTAAATTAAAACTCAATGAAAGAAAAGACTATAATGAATCAAAGACATGTTTTGTCTAAAGAGTCTTAAAAATTATTCCATTTCTCATTTTAAAAGTTTCTGCCTTTTTAGAATTATCTCAGATTGTTTCTTTAAAGAGAAGTCCTTTTTAAAATGCTCATATTCTTTGAAGATTATATATTCGACTAACAGTAGAGTCATATTATTTGTGTTCTGAGAAATTGAAGAACTGCAGAATTATAAAAGTAATTACTTGGAATAGTCTGATTCCTCTGGTAGACTAAAAAATCCTGGGTGTGTCACCCTGGGCAGATAGGAGAATTGTCAGTAGACTTACCCCTCACTCATAGATTTGTTTCCACAGGAAATGGATATTTTTGGAGAAATATGCAGAGTGGAATCTCAGTGGGACCGAGACCACCTTCTTTATGTCTTGATGGTCAGATGTGGAGAGATAAGACTATAGCTAGGGACCAATTGCCAAGGAGCAAGGGAAAAAAATTAGCTATTTATAGTTCACTTAAACCTATCTAAAATGTAAAGATTTTGAATATCTTTTTAGTCTATTATTGGAAAGAGTAGTATACTTTTTGTATGCTATACACCCATTTTTATATGTCTCACAGAAGGAGACCTGGAATTCAAAGTTCATCCCAAGAATTCTCAGAGAGTTCATTCCTGAACGCATCTATCATCCAGGTCGTGGGGAGGGAGAGAGTAATTTCCCTGTACACTCAGTACTCTATGGGAATAGCTTTCATTTGGGAAGCTGACTGATTGGTAAATAAAATTATAGTTGTTCCATGAGAAAGAATGGAAGTACGCCCTAAAAGAGAACAAGAAAGGAAAGCAGGTACTACTTTGCCAAAGATGTTGACAAGCCACCATGAATGCACACCTGAAAACACTTGACTTCTTCATTGCTGAGCATAATGCATTGGCAGCTCACACTATATACGGGGAAGAATTATTCACTATCTTCTTAGACATTTTTATAGTTTCAAAGACAAAGAGCCCCTTGGTGCCTTGGTGTCTGTACAGACAGAATTTAGAAATGCTCAGCCTACAAAACAGCCAAGGTCTGGTAGCAGGCTGTTTACTCCAGGGGGAAGAATGCCAGATTCTTTGGAGGTGAATTTCTACAGGAAACTATGGGCTCTTTTGCATTTTGCAGGTCCAATGCTATAGAATTTCACATAAAACATTTTTTTTAAAAGCCCATAGAAGTTAAGTATCTGGATCAGCTTTTAGAAAAAGAGGCAGACTGGAGGTTCTTAGTATTGAGGGAAAATTAAAAAAACAAACAAACAGAAAATTATATAAACATAGATGGAATGTAGAAGAGTAAATTAATGGCTTTAGCTTCCATTTCCATATAAAAATTGAGATTAAGTCAGTCGTTCCCAGATCATAGAGTGGAGAAGAAATTCATGAACAAGCACTTCCTAGATATAATATGCAATAAAGCCTGGAGTTCATTTGAACTGCTGACTGAAGTGAGTCATCATACCAGAGAAAGGAAGGATGAGAGGGAAAAGGTCCTCTATGTTACAATCACCAGGCTGGTTGGGAGAGGGGCTGGGGATAGAGGGGAAATGAATCCAATAAGCTCCATCTGAGGACAGCTAACCTACTGCATGAGGCTTGATTTGCTTCCCTGATCTCTGCATTGGTAGAAATTTCCCAGAGACTTAAGAGACAGAGTGAGCTAGCTGCCATTTTAATATCTGTATGCTCTCAAGTAAGTTGTCAACCACACAATGGGCTTCAAGTTGGACATATTAGAACTCTCTTGAATTCACTACTGCCCAGCAAAGCATTGATCGGGAGGAGGGTTTGTTAGAATGCCCATTCCTTGGGAGGGAAATGAAGAATTGTGAAACTAACATTCAATGCTTTTGACAAGGTGTCAACAACTGGTGGGTATGCAGAAAAGACACAAAATGGGCTGCTCAGTCCCATACAGCTGTTATGGAGCCTAGTCATGCCTGGGTTCAATTTCTAACATAGTTGTACATACTGACATGTGAGCCTAAAAGAGCCAGGTATGCCTAGGACCTGTTTCTAAAGGTGCTTTTCTCTAAGTGACTTCTGCCCCAATTACAGAGAAGGTTCCAAGCAGCTGGACTGTTTCTCTGTACAGCTGGAAAATGGACATATATCCAACAAGTTATTTGCATTTTGGAGGGGCTAAAAATGATTCCTACTTTTCAATTCCTACTACATACTATTAGGTTGGCCACACGGACTTGTTTCTCTTATGCTGCAGATTTCTTTATGATGACAAAGTAGCTGACATGAATGGAAGTTCATGTCTTTATTGAATCCACTCTCTTCAGTGGTAATGTTCCTGAAGGTACAATATGTAATATGTGAAATGTGATAGTCATGGTCTTCTGGATGTTCCATGCATTTATAAACTGCTCTTAAGAAAATCCAGAATAAGGAAACTTAAATGGTTTAGCATTTCTACAACATGACACTTCTCCTTCTACATGACTTTTTCAAAATTAACTCACTGAATTTCACAGTATGCTCATTTTTTTTAATAATTTAGGAACCAATAAATTAATTTGTAGATTACCAAACCTGCTGATGCTTTTTATTTTCCCTTCCAGTTCTTGGCGTTTTGTTTGTTTATTTGTGGGTGTGTTTTTTTCTGATTAGAATAGGCAGGACCAAAGAAAAATAAAACTCAAATCTAACAGTTCTTTCTAGTGATTCCTAAAGACAACTTAAATTACTTTATAACATTGTATATTTGATATTTTTTGGGAAAAGCTTTTTTTTTTGTTTTTTGTTTTTGTTTTTACTTCTCTCTTTTTGACACTGAAAGCCCTAAGTTGGTTTTATCTTTGTTTGGGGGAAGGGAGAGTATGTCAAAATAGACCAACTTATTAGATCAAGGAGTGAAGAGGTTCCCCTGGCAAAGTTAAAGCCTGGTTACTGGGAAAGAGACTGCGGTTTTGCTAATTCCCCCTCACACACTGACTAGCCACTGACTAAGGGAGTGATCTGCATGAATGACACCAGGCAAGGAAGGAGCAATAGAAATGAGAAAAAATAACACTCACGAAAGCAAGAATAATTGAAATAAAAACTTCCTCATTGCAAGGAGTGCAATCTATGGAGAGATGTGCACTAATACACTTACATCTCTTCTGCTACATCCAAGCACATGGAAGAACCATACTGATGACTATCTTTGGGGAGATTTCGGAGATTTCCGATACCACCAAAATTCCTTCCCTTCCTTCAGTTTCTCCAGTTGCTCCACCAGCAGCACATGAGCTTTTCACTTAGAAAACGCCTTTCCTCATGGACAAAGGGGTGCTGAAGGGAGGTTCAGCAGGTGTGCAGCTTCTACTGTCCCTACTTGGGGAACAGGAGAAGGGAGACCAGCATCCAATCTGACATTCAATTCCTTAACCACGTTGCCTATTTGTTTAGGCTACAACATTTCCAGATGTAATAGCACCACTAGGTTTCCTTATCCGACTTCTCAGATTTTGGAAATTCTTTCTCCATAATTCCTATGTAGTTGCAGCGAGCATTTGAGGAGACACCATGGACATCAACTCAAGTATTCAAAAGGCAACTGATGGGCAGCAGGTCCATCACCTGTGATGGTGGGGGAGTCACCATCATCAATTTCTGCTTGACCAGACTCTGCCCTTTTTTTCTCCTTCCGTAAGCTGCCTCTTCTTGGGTTAAAAACCATAGAGCACATCTCCTTCTAACCTTATTTTTGACACCTCACTGGCCTGAGGTTTTTTCTTATTTCTACCTAAGATAGTTACATCATGCTCTGGTTTAATATATGATATACTCGTGTGCTTGAGGGATGATGCCAGTTACTCATGCAAGAATCTGAACTGCTATCAGCTGTGCCCTGATGTAATGAATCTTGGCTAGAAGAGAAGATGATGCTCACAAGCTAAGATTTCCCAGAGTCTGACTGGGAAGCCCAATGTGAGTGTCTGGTTAAGCAGAATAGCAGTGCTGGCCACTCTCCCTCTTGTTAGGGGAGGGCTGTGCTTAGAACAGCCACTTAAGTCTTGGTTGCCCGAAATGCTCAAGCTCCAGTGGTACTCCAACTACTTCCTCTCCACAAGAAGTTTTAGAGACACCTGCTGTTTAAACACAATCTCAACTGCATTTTAGAGGGAACATTTTAAGGCCTCCAGGCTGTTTTAGATGGCCTACCTTGAACAACTCTTGTGAACCTTGACTGATGATCAACGTAAGTTAGAAATGAAGGTGATGTTAACAGTGCAGCGTGTGTGTGGATTGGGGAGCGGGTATCCAGATACATACTGCAGGATTCAAACTGAGTGAAAATGATGGAGATCCTGCCCTGGTGTCTTAATGTACTAACATATTACCTTTGACTAATCTTAGAAAAATCACTGTTTCCCCAACATCGGCAGGCAGACTCTGCTCTTTAGAAAGAGGTATTTTACTGCCAATTTCTAGTCTCTCCCTGAGGATAAAACCCACCTCGGGCTGCATTTGTCTAACTCGCAAATTAAAAGTCCCCACTCGTTATTCCTCCCTGTTGGTTCCCTGAGAGCATGTTCCTGCTGGGTTATGTGGCCAAAGTGACAGTCCTGCTTATCTTCAGCGATTTTCCTATGAGCACCAGCTTCAAGACTTACAGTGGAGGATGGCGACTCCACTGAAAGCCACTGGCAGCTGTCTCCCATCAGTTCTCTAAGGACACACACGTTTCCAAACATATGTTGGTCTTACTGAACTCAAAGCTGATTCCCAAGGCATGGGCAAAACAGGCACTTTTTTTTTTTTTTGCACGATAATACCAAAAGGCATGTCACAGAGCCCAGGATGGCTGTAAGCGGAATTTGTTTTCAATTGATGAATTCCTTCGGTTTTCTTCACAGTTAAGTGAAAAGGAAGAAACAATATAAGAAAACCAACTAGTCTAAAAAGCTTCTTGCTCACAAGCAACTTCTTTTAGTCATGTAAGTTTCTTACCAGCTTTCCTATTTTGCTTGTCTCATCCTTTTATTTTGAACTGGAAAAACAACAACAACCCAACTATGCTACCATATTCCTTTCTTTTGAAAAGGTGGTTAGCACCTGCATGAATATGGCTTCAGAGACTTGATTGGATCTTGACTGTACATTCTTGATTCCCAAGACGGGCATTATATTAGGATATGGTGCCACTTCAATAAGCTGGATCTGTTATGGGTCCCTGAGGGGGTTGATACCTGGCAGGCATGTCCTGGGTAAACAGTCAGCCACCTGGAAGTTGAGAGGTTCTGGGAAGATCCTGGGACAAGGGTCAGGCCACACACCGCAGCTGGATTGGGAAGGGTTTTAAGGTTGTTGCTCCACCATTTGGAGGAGAAAGCTTTGACCTCTCTCCCTTCAAGGCCCAAACCTGATAGTCTCTGATCCTATTATCAATTCACCCCAGGCCCCTCTTTTCTCTACTCACAAGGTAGATTCCTTTCTCTTGTGACTCAAGGGGCAGTGACTCCCAGGGTCCGAAAAAGCTGCATGTACATGGCATTCCATTAATGTGAACACCTTCTTTGCATTTGCATGTGAAGAACTTTTCTGAACTTAATTTTTCAGACACCAAAGACCTCTGTCACATGCCTGTCTGTCAAGGGTCAAGGTCATCACAAAAGGCGGCAAGTAACATTTGCAGTCCTGTCTGGAAACTGCCTCCTAGGGCTGGTGGGACAGGTCTGGCCGCACACAGTCCCAGAACATGACGTAGAGCTCAGGTGCACATCATCAAGACATTGCCCATTCACGAATGTTCTGAAACATGAAATGTGCTCTGTTACTGGGTCACTTGTCCAAGCAACTGCTTTGACCCCAAGTGTCTCCGTGCTCAGGTATCACTGTTTCTTCCGGAATTTGGGATGGAGAGACTCTCTGCTGATCCAGGAAACCGCAATTAATTGCTTAATGGCTGATGTGAACTCCCTGTATCATAATTTGTTCTCCAGGTTTATGAAGTTTACGGTTATTTAACCCCTTCTCCACCATGTATAATCCCATTTCCTCTCCTTTCCATAACATGAACAACAATAAGATAACCATTTTTCTCCTCTGGGAAATACATAGTCTTGGACCTCTTTAAAAATAGTTTGGGTAAATGTTAACATTTTTGGCGAGAAAGACACTTCAGGATCTTGATGCAATGGGATCGAAATTAAGATCAACAGTCAAACCAGCAGTGTGTAAAGGCTTGAACTCTCTCAAGGCAACTGTCGTAAGAGCCCTCTCTTCTTTGGTCACAAATTTACATATATCAAGAGTGGGTCAGGAAGCTTGGAATCTTTGCTTTTAAAAATGTTTGGAAAATCTTGGGGCTTTCTTCTGGTCTTATAACAAAGTGAACTTTGGGCCTCTACAGAAACAATCATCAAATACTCCTGCAATGTTCCCTTACACAGCTTGTCATTGGTTCTGTGGCTTAACCAGGGACTTCTTTGGGAAGGCACGAGTTCTCACTGCAGATGACCTCACAAAGCCATGAGCAAAAGCAACATTTAGCGACATGTCTTTCAAGAACTTCCTGCAGTGCTGGTGTTGCAAAGGATAAGCAAGGTACTCAGTCTTGCTGTCATCTTCAGTGTCTCCTTTTTAGTTGGTGGTCACACTGGCTTCCTTTTGACGTAGTCTTTCTTTCTGTTGTTTAAGAAAAAAAAAGTTTATTATCATTCCTTTTCTAATTTTCCATCAAATTTTGATAAGTTTCTAAAGTTTTGGTCTAGAATTCTAGAGTTGTACTATATGCCCTAGAAATAAGAGTGTTTCCGGCCTTCCTTCCTGAAACCTTCAGTTACCTGCCCCTTACAACCTATCACCCTCACTCTCCAACAAACCAACAAAATAATAACCAGCTCATAAACCAAGTATATCCACCTGAAACACTGACCATTACCATTCCAGGCTGTTGTTCTGTGACAAAAGTCCTAGTTTTGTAGTGTTACTCACAGGCTCCTTCCATTCCTCACCTTGGCCCACTAATGGAATTATGGAATGCTCAAGAAATAGGGAGTCTTTAAATATGAAAAGTCAAACTGGAAGGTGACCAGACGTGGTCTATGCAGAATGGCAGGAGCTCCCGTTCACCGTAGATGTTCTGCTCTGTGTTCCCCGAGTTTCCTTCCCAGGGACAAACTTCTCCTGGGGAAGAGCGTGGAAGTCTGCTGGCAGGATGTAAACACAAACAAGGACACAAAACAGAAACACAGGCCCTCACGTGTCTAGGGCTTTAGAGAAGTAAATATATTAAGCATAGTGATGGGTGTGTCTGCTCTCAGGGGTGGGAGAACAGGAGGCTAAAGGAGAAATGGGAGAAGTACACTCCTTCCGGAAGAGCAGAGGCAGAGAGAAGCCCTTTGAGAGTGGATCCTTAGCTGCTTGTGATCCAGGAGATACCATGTTACAAAGAATTATTATATTGGTTTAGATCAAATGCATGCTGATGACTTTAAACACCCATCCCTAGTTTGGATCCCATCCCTGTCTTATGAAATTAAATCAGGAATCAGTTTACGAGCTCTTCCCTAATTTCTACCAAAATAAACAACAAAACAAACAACCCTAACAAGTTGAGGATCGCAATTGGGAGCTCGCTCATAGTGTAGGTCACCTACAAAAGAATAGCATGGAGTCTCTTTCATCTAGAGCAGCGATTTTCAGCCTTTTTCATCTCATGGCACACATGAGTTAATCACTAAAATTCTGCGGCACACCAAAAAAATATATTATCTTTTTTGTCAATCTGACAACAAAAATCGGGTATAATTTTGATTCATTCACACTGGATGGCTATTGTTGTGTTGGTTACTGTCATTTTTTTAATCTGGCAATCTAAAGGAAATGAGGTCAACAACCCTGAATAAACAGTCAGGTACTGCATGTTTTAAACATTCTTGTGGCACACCAGTTGAAAATTACTGATCTATTGAGCTATGTCCATTCTCTTTGCCGCTGGACATGCATTTGGCTGTAAAAGTTAGGACAGAAATCCAAATAAGAGGCCTGGGGGAAGGGGAAGAGGCCGATGAAAGGTAAAAATCAGGGTTGAGCCCACTGTCACTGAAATCCTACAAGTGAGTGTAATGAACAGAGTGTCAATGGGCACGGAGGGGCTCTGTGCACTAACCACTGCCTTTGCAGGCCAAGCTGTGTGGCCTTGGCTTCTCTATTTCTCACTCATCAACCTCACTCAACATTTCATTCAGCTGCTGATGGGGTTATGAGAGACACCACAGTCAACAGAAATAATCTCACTTTATAACTTATTGTTTCACTTGGATTGTCACAGCAGTTGAAGCAGCTGGCAAAAAGGACTTGTGACACAAAAGGGTAACACCAAGTAGTTGTAGGAGGTCAGGGCACAGTTGTAGGAGGGTCTGAAAATCCAAGTGAGGAGAGTGATACTCCCACTTTCCACTCACTGCTGTTTCCCGTTGCAGCGCCAACCAAAGTTGCCGAAATTCATGATAACAAGGAAAAGAACTAACACTTACTGAGCTCTTACTATGTCCTAGGCACTTTGCATGTCTCTTCCTACCTTCCTCAAAATCACCCCAAAGCAAAGATAATATTATTTCCCTCTTTTCACAGAAGAGGGAGAAGCAAAAGAACTTCACTAAGGTTTTCCAACTAGTCAGTGGCTGAGATGGGACTTGAACCCTGACACCTTGGGTTCATAACCATTTAGCTATTCCAACTGTTGTCTGTGACAAACAGGTGGAGATTCATTGTGACCTACCCTGCAAACATGACATTGGAGGACAACTTGCCCCCACAGGTAGGAAGCCAGACCAGACTGCTGGTTTCTAGGGCAGGGAGGGACTTCTGGGGCTCAGAGTGTGGTCCTGGCTTTTGTTATCCAGGTAGTGATACAGGTAGACTGCATCTTTTCTGCATCTCAGTTTTTCTACTGATCAAAAGAGGATAAGCCTGCCCTTTTCTTTCACTGGGGAAAGAAACTGGTGAGAGTGAAATGCTTAAACTTTTCAGGAGAAAGGTGCTTTGAGATGAGGGGGATCATGGCATGTGGGGGGAGGGCAGTGGAAGGGTATGAAATGACAAGTGACTCAGTTTGGTTTATTAGAAAATGACCTTTGTTGAGTTTGGTGGCAAACACATGAAGCTGTTTTGTTCCTCACTCCATATATATATATATATATATATATATATATATATATATATATATATATTCTATACACTACTCTGGGGTGGAAACTGAGAATCTGGATACTACCTGCCATTCCCCTGAGTTTTGTCCTTTAAATTCAGACACACTCCTGGGCGCACATCAGTTATAATGAAAAATCTTGAGGTTATGTTGAAAAATGTATCTCACCAGACTGGCCGTGGGATTGATTTTCTTTGTCTCCACTTTCTTCTCTGATGTCAACTTGCTGACTGATTCCTGAGCCATTTTCAATCTGAAATTAAAATGGAGTGGGGAGGAAGAGGAGGAAAAGGAAGGAGGGGAAAAAAGAAAAGAAGAAATAGGAAGAGATCAGGTTAAACAGAAATCCAAATGATGTTGAGTTAATCAACAGTTTGGAAATATAAAGAATGGTTTCAATGTTTTTCATTACTAAATTCAAACTCTAATTAGGTGTCAAGCATATCTTCTGTGTTATCAAAGGTGAATTACCTTCCCTGGCTGAGGGGCTCACCTAGATGACTTTGGAAAGTCTGTGCTTTTGTGTCCAATGCAGGAGTTTTTAATCTACAGAAAACTAGATGCAGTTACTTTATTCTCCACATGCACATCAAGGCTATCTGATTTGTGATCTAGCCACTCAGCAGACATGAAAACTAAAAATATGACAATTTACCAATTTACATCAAGAAAGTGAAAACCCAAAGAATGGGAGAAAATATCTGTAAATCATATATTTGACAAAGGACTTGTATTGAGACTACATGAAGAACACTTACAACTCAGAAGAACAAATTGCCCAATTAAAAAATAGGCAAAGGATTTGAATAGACATTGCTCCAAAGAAGACATGCAAATGGCTAATAAGCACATGAAAAAAGACTTTTTTAGTCATCAGGGAAATGTTAATAAAAACCACGAGATAGATATGTTTTTACATTCGTTAGGATGGCTAGAATAAAAAAGGAAGACAATATCAAGTGTTGGAGGCAAGGACTTAGAGGAATTGGAACACTGATGCATTGCTTATGGGATTGTAGAATGGCACAGTCACTTAGGCAGTTTTCAAAATGTTAAGCATAGTTAACATACGACTCTATAATTTCACTGCTAAGTATGTAAATATATGTATAGGCAAGAAAATAAAAATATATATCCATACAAACACTTGCATATGAATGTTTATAGCAGCGTTATTCATAATACCCAAGAGTAGAAACAACTCAAATTTCCATCGGCTGAAAAATGGATAGACAAAATGTGGTATATCCACGTAATGAACTATTACTAGACCATAAAAAGGAATGAAATACTGATACATGTTACAAAGGGATGAACCTCAAAAACATTAAGGCAAGTGAAAAAAGGCAACTACAAAAATCCACGTATTATATAATTCCATTAATGTGAAATGTCCAGGATAGGCAAATCCAGAGACAGAAAGTGGGTTAGCAAAGCCAGAGGCTGGGGATCCAGACAATATCAACTGTTACTGAAGATGTGGGGGAATGAGAACTGACAAACTGCACTTCGAAGTGTAAACTAGTGTAGCTGGCTTTGGAAAATCAACTAAAACTGCAAACATGCATACCCTATGAGCCATCAATTTCTCTTCTAGGGAGATACCCCAAAGAAACTTTTATACAGACACAGAGCTTTCACTGCAGTGATATGTGCAATAATGAAAAACTGGAAACCTAATGATTAGGTTCAGTGGGTAACAGATGGATGGTAATCTATATATGTAAAAATCCTAATATGCAAATAGACAGAACGGTGGAACAACCGAACAACCGATCGCTATGATGTGTGCTGACCAGCAGGGGGCATGCGCTGAGCATGGCATGCATCGGCAGCAGGTGGCAGAGTGGGGGACCTGGTGGGTGTCGGCCGTGGTGGGATGGTGGAGCAGGTGAGCGGGGGCGCCAGACCAAGGTGGGGTGCCTGTTGCTGTTATCGGGGTGAGCCTCTGGTGGTTACTGAAAATTCTTTGCTCCCATGCACTGCGGTCCCCGCTTGGTGCTCGCACCTGCAGCCGGCACTGGTCCCACTCGCCCCTGAGGCCTTCTCCACCTCCCCCTGTTCCTGAGTGGCAATTAGGGCAACAGCCACCACTCACACTCACTGACAGCGCCGGTCCTGCTCGCACCTGCTGCTGGCGCCTGCCCCAATTGTCCTGTGCCTTCAGTGGGTGCGAGCGGGGCCAGTGCCATCAGTTCATGGGAGCAGCAATGGTGGGAGCGGGGCTGCTGGCAGACAAGGGACCCGGGCCGCGGTGGGAGGGGCTGGGCAGGGGCGCAGAGGATGGGCCAAGACCTGCCCCTGTGCCCACCGCAGACTCACAGCCCACAGTTTCTTTCAGGGTGCACAAATTCATGCACTGGGCCCCTAGTAGTAAATAATAGCAAACATTCATTGGGTGCTTACTCCATGCCATGTACAGTTCTACCTGGTTTATTTGAATTACACCATTTATTTCTCATGACAACCTTGTGATATAGGAACTTTCACTCTTATTTTATAGGTCTTAATCACCATGCAATACTGCTTTTTAAAAAATTATATTCATTTAATGCAGTGGTTCTCAACCTTCCTAATGCCGTGACCCCTTAATACAGTTCCTCATGTTGTGGTGACTCCCAATTTCATTGTTACAAATTGAACATAATTAAAGCATAGTGATTAATCACAAAAACAATATGTAATTATATATGTGTTTTCTGATGGTCTTAGGTGACCCCTGTGAAAGGGTCATTCGACCCCCAAAGGGGTCGCGACCCACAGGTTGAGAACCACTGATTTAATGGAATATGGGATAACTGTGAACTACACCTATTTTTATTGACAGAATGTCTTATCAACAATTACATGGGAGAAATATGTTCAGGTCCTCAGCCACTATGGAAAACAGTATGAAGCCTCCACAAAAAATTAAGAATAGAGTTACCATGTGATCTAGTGACCCCTCTTCTGTGGATCTGCCTAAAAAATTTGAGAACATTTATTTGCAAAGATATATGCATCCCTAAGTTCATTGCAGCAATATTTACAGTGGCCAAGACATGGAAACAACTAGTGTCCTTTGATAGATAATTGATAAAGAAGATGTAGTACATGGGGTGGGGGGGGGGGGGCGGGCAAGCATAGGTTTATAGCTGTGAATATGCAAATATTCTTGTATTATTTATTTGTTTTCTTCTTCTTCTTCTTATTGCTATTATTTTGTATCTTTACTTGTGATTTACCTTTTAGGTAATGATGGCTGACAATTTAACCTACATTTGCCACCCCTGCATATACAATGGAATATTACTCAGCCATAAGAAAAGATGAAAAAGTTCTATTTGTGACAACATGCATAGATCTTGAGAGTATCATGCTAAGCAAAATAAATCATACAGAAAAAGTTAATAAACATATGATTTCACTAATATGTGGGATATAAAACTGAAAGCAACAGATAAACAAATAAGAAAAAACAAACAAAACAAAAACTCATACACACAGACAACAGTATGGTGGTTACTAGAAGGAAGGGAGTTGGGGGTAGTAAAGCATAAAAAAGGGGGTCAAATATATGGTGATGGAAGAAGATTTGAGATTGGGTGGTAGGCACATCATGCAATATACAAAAGACGTACCATAGAATTGTAGACTTGAAACCTATATATTCTTTTTAAACAATGTCAACCCAATAAGTTTAATAAAAAACCCAATTACAGATATCAGAAACATGATATTGAGAGAGTGAAGCATTCTGCAGAGTGACACAGTGAAGAGGCCATGTAGCATGATGGCCAAGTGCTCAGGCTCCAGAGCCTGGCTATGGGATTGATGCTGAGCGTCACCACTTACTAGCTGTTTCACCCCAGACAAGTGACCTCTCTGTGCACCTTGATTTCCTAAAAAGGGGGATAACAATAACCTGCTACATATAGTCACTGAAAGGATGGAAATAGTACAGCTCCAGGCACAGTGCAATCACTCAATACATGTTCCCTACTCTTTTAAAAAAAATATATTTTATTGATTTTTTACAGAGAGGAAGGGAGAGGGATAGAGAGTCATAAACATCGATGAGAGAGAAACATTGATCAGCTGCCTCCTGCACACCCCCCACTGGGGATATGCCCACAACCAAGGTATATGCCCTTGACTAGAATCGAACCTGGGACCCTTTGGTCCGCAGGCCGGCGCTCTATCCACTAAGCCAAACTGGTCAGGGCCATGTTCCCTACTCTTGTCTGTGCATGCAATATGCTGCATTGTGCATGTTTATAAATGGAACCCACAAAACAGTATTGTTCACCAATGTCTGTATGTGTGTGTAAACATACATATAAACATCTATCTATATTTATATACAGACTGGAAAGATACTCATTAGTTTCATGATGGAGATTATTACTAGAAAAATGGAAGAAGAGAATGGCTTTGGGAGGTAGTGTATAGAATAGTACAATTTAATTTTTATAATGCCTCATTATTTTTAAATTAAAAACTCTTAAATAATACTTGGTAAATGTGAAGAGATAATTCCAGGTGGTGGGAATATGGGTGCTATGTAATTCTTTCTATGTTTCTTTTTAAAAATTTTTTCTCAAAAATATTTTAAAAATACTAAATATTCAAAAAGCCACCAACTCACAGACTCTTTGAAAAATGAACATGCTAATGAGAAGCAAGGACCTACAACCAACATTACTCTATCCAGTAAGGCTATCATTTAGAATTGAGGGAGAGATAAAGAGCTTCCCAAACAAGAAAAAGCTGAAGGAGTTTATCACCACCAATCAGTATTATAAGAAATGTTAAAGGGACTTCTCCAAGAAGAAGAAAAAAATATGAATAAGAAAATATTGTAAAGAAAAATATTCTTACTGACAAAGACAAATATCAGAAAAGAAGTGGATCAACCAACACTAAAGCTAGTACACAGGTTAAAAGGCAAAAGTAGAAAGATCATGTATAATTCCAACAGTAAATTAAGCAATACACAAAAACACACAAAAGAAGCAAAATATAATGATAAAAAATATAAATGGGGAGGGGTTGAGTAAAAATGGTAGTGATTTTAGAATGTATTCGAACTTAAGTGATCATCAACTTAAAATAGACTACTATACACATAGCTACCTATATATGCAGCACATGGTAACCACAAACCAAAAATCTACAAGAAATCCTATATAACAAGAGGCTAATATGCAAATAGACCAACCAGCAGAACAACCGAACAACCGGTCACTATGATGTGTGCTGACCACCAGGGGG